GATGCTGCTTGGCCTGCTGTGTTCATCCAGCTCTACACCTTGTTATCTCAGATTCTCCAGCATCAGCAGTTCCTACTATATCTGTAAAAAGATTTGGAACAATTTCACTGGTGGAAACAGCCCTCCAAAAAAACCTGAAGATTCACTTATACCCAAAAATACAAATATAATGCAGAACAGATTTAATTTTTGTTAACTTTTCAATATTTGCTAAAAGTAACTGGTGGTTGTCTCATGTGGAAAAATAATGGCATGGGAAGGTGCTTTAGCCAAGTGTGCATTTCTCTGTTTTCCAGCAGTCCCCGCAGGATTTCAGGCTCCACTTGGCCTCCACCTCAATAAACTTCTCACTCTTTCCCCTGAAAGTGAAAGGCTTTCCTTTTGCTCCTTTTATTGGTACCTTCATTTCAATGGTGAGGCCCAAGGAGCCCTGGCATTGTGCCTTCAGCTTAATAACTGGTGTCCTGAGGAGAGGAATTGGCAGTGTGATGGAAGGTTGAATAACTGGCTGCAGCAAATTGCAGCTAAATGGCCAAATGCAGCGATTGGATGGTTTGGAGGAGGGGACCGCAGAACAGGCAACGACAATCCTAGACAGTCTCCATTTCTTTTTCTGGCAAGCAAAATGCTGAATTTTGCCTTGTTGGTTATAATAAATGTGATGTTCGATTGTTCTGTGTTTGATTATCGGAATGATCTATCGTCACTGTGCTTGATTGGTTGAGTTCGGGTATGGACTCAGAGAAAAATAAACAAAATTGTAGAAAGAGCTGGAAACACGAGCTAGAAGCATGGAGTAGATATTCTAAAGTACTGTGAATAAAACTTGTTACCCACACAGAAACGAGAGTAGTTTCTAACTCTGAGACATAAAATTTCCAACACTTAAACTCTCCTGTTAAAGCTCACTGTTTGCCTGAGTGCACGAGGCCCAGTGGAGCGGAGTATTGAGAGATAAACAAACTGGTACTGTCCGCAGAGAAAGTTCAGTCCTTTTACCACCTGAAATAAGACAATTCAAAACCAAATGTGCTTCGTGACAAAACAGTGTAAAAGGGGACGGAATACACTTCACAGAACCAGGTGCTACTTACGTAAGCAATTTGGTAGTGATCGGTCCCACAGACCATTTGCTTGACAGGTAAGCACAGATGAGCCAAGGAGGTAGAAGCTCCATTTACACTGGTACACCACGCTGCTGCCAAACTTGAAGTTTTGCGGGTAATCTTCTTGCCCTAGGCGAATGGCATTTTCCACAAAACCAGGGTCTGTACAGTTCATCACTGCAATTCAACAAAGGATATGAAATCTCATTAAACCATAAGGTATCAGGACATGGCAATGTTAAAACAGTCTACATGTGGAGACACAAAGTGGTTTTATTGAGCGGGGAGCATTTTCATCCCTGCATATGTGTACTGGAATCAGGGAGCTGGCCCACCTGCCTTCCTACTGGAAAATTATGCCCAGCAAACTGACAGTTTTCTGCTCTGTGCTGTAGACTTGAGGTTCATCATTCCAGAGCTAATGACTCTTTGCATCCCAAATCCAGAAATAAATAAAAAAAAATGCAGCTCCATAAACAGTATGTCTGAATGGTGCTTGAAAAATTTGCAAAGAATTTTATAATGATGGAATTAATTTTGTTGTGATGCTTGCTTCTAAATTTAACAAATCCCCTTTCCTGATTTAACTTCAGTGTTACCTGTAACTTTGACATTTATTGTAGCTGGAGAGCCCCGGTGTTCGAATTATGTTTATAACTTCACTTGCTTTATTCATTGCTCAATGACAATAAATAAAAGCAGCATTTAGAACCACCATCAATGTTCATAAAAAAAAAATTAAATGATAGCAGTGGGGGCAGGTTAATTGATTTACACAGAATTGCAAAGAATACTCGGCATACAAATTGACCACTTAGCCCAACCCTTCCTTGCAGATATTTGTTTTCCATTTGAACCTCCTTCCTCATCAAACTTTCAGTATAACCATCTGTTTCTTTGCTCTTTGTAAGGTTATCTAGCTTCCCCTTGAATGAATCTATGCCGTTTGAAATGTATCTACACCAACCATAGCTCAGGTGGTCACAAAACTACCTCAGAGTCAGAAGGCTACGGATTCAAACCCCAATTTAGAAACTTGAGCACATAATTGACACTGACCTTCCAATCCAATAGAGAGGGAATGTTGAACTGTCAGAGGGACCTTTCCTCAGGTGAGATGTTTGGATGAGAATCCTTTCTGCTGTTGAGTTAATATAAAGGATCCAATGGCACCACTATTACCGCCTATGCATAAAACTTTAAATCTCATCTCTTATGAGATGCAATTCCTCATTGCTAGCACCTCACAGCCTATTCCACATGTCACTCATGGAGTATTTTGATCTTGTTCTCAGCTATTTCAAACTGATGTCACAGTGATAATGATAAACTACAGTCTAAAGGCATATTTCCTTTGCTTGTTATTTGTTGAATTATCCTTAATAAACGTCATGACCAATCTGACTACTGAGCATCGAAGGAAAAATTTTTCCTTTGTTTTAGAGCTGGCAGCATACACTAGGATAGACTGTCAACTCGACTCAAAGCAATCCAAAGTTTGCCATCTAAGTTCATCTTGGGTAAGTGTGAAAAGCAGGCAGCAGTCTTTTATTGGAAATATTTAGGATCCTTTGACATTTATTCAGTTTACTCTCTTTATTAACAAGGGTAGCTATTGTTCAGTGGGTCATTGTACTTCAGTAATTGTGTGTAACACCAAAGGATTGACATTAAGTGTTTCAACAAGTTTATGTACCGTTTAACTTTTTGTACATTTGATATTAGCAGCTGGAAGACAGGAATGCTCAGTTATTTTTATTTTTAATTTCTTGTCCATTTGTATTAATTATTCCTGCAGATCAAGGTGATTCTCACAAATAATTTCCCTCAAGATTTATTCATGGCTTTGCATCTAAAGCATATATTCTGACTGTGAGTTAGTGAGGATTGTCGATCCAAGATATTAGTTTCCATTAAGACCCAGAAAATCCTCAGCATCTGCTTCTTTCTACATCTCAAAAGCTCCCAAACATTCCTTTCCAATGTCATCTAGAGAAGAAATAAGGTTTCCCCGGTGAATTCCTATAGTTCGTGTGTGCATCTGAGTCATTATTCTGCTAATCTCAGAAAGCCTGAGTTTACGAGATTCAATTTCTTTGTGATCTAGTCAATATGATTGATCCATTTTGTTTCATCCTTAAAATCTAGCCAATTTTTATTTCTCACCGCTGTCCAGCTTGTGAATGTACAGGCATATCTCTTGCACGAATATGTCCTTATTCCTATTTCATTGCTGTCCATACTTGTGTTAAACTCAGTCTCATGTCCAAATCAAATCCATAACCTTGGGCCTGAAAACATTACAGTTTTTCACACACCTCATGTGAAAGCTAACACTAATTTTTCAGCGAACGAAGTCCAAAAAGTGAATGATTTGTTTTTGTTATCAATGTATAAATAGTATGCAAATTAATATAAATGAATAAATGTCAGATAATTAATAGAGAGGATATTTATACAGTTTGTGATGTTTTAAAATAAATAAGTATGAGATCATTAATATGAATTCTGTATTGTTGGTTTTTACTTTATTTCATTGTCGCAATCTTTTTAGGATTTCCCATTCTCCCAAAAACAAGACACATGTAAGTCAACCCCATTGCTATTAACTAAAGCACTTTGACTTCTTTTTGAGTGTGTATGGTACATTGACAGTAATCTCTGACAATGACATGTCAGTTTTTCTTTCGGGCCAACTGTTGATTCTCCCTAAAATTGCAAAATATAGAATGACATTTCTGTAGTTTCACGCCCCAAAAATTCTCCATACATGTAAAAAAACCTTTGTGTCAGCATAACAATAAAGGCATAAATAAATAAAAACAAAAAGTTCCGTTTACTCTTATGAATAAACTGAATTGTCAGAGCATGGTCACCGCTTCCACTGCCACCACCACCACATTTGAATCCTTTTGGCAAAGCAGAATTCAGGTGGGATGTTTGCTGAGTTCATTTATCCAGTTGGAAATGACATTACCAGTGATATTTCAACAGCACATGCGTGACCTGCTTACATATCGATGCATAAAAAGATCATCAGAACACCTGCCAAAGACGTAATACATCTCAATGTTTGTATCACAGCCATGGAATACTCATGTCCATGATGCTATAATCAATATCTGCCTAATTCACTATTTTGAAAGTGCACTGGTCTGTGAAATAAATTCTATTTCATACACCACACATGTCCAATTTATCTCCTTGCACTCAAAAGAGTATAGAATGAGCAGTATGCTAATATGATTGCACTGGCAAGATGTCTTTCCAGGAGCAATTCAATTTGGAATAGTGGTTTCATACAGGTACCACAGTCAACAGCCATACCATCATCTTCGTTTTAATCAAATTTGAATTAATGCTGTGAGTGCAACTGGATACAAACAGTTTAAACACATTATTTTTATATTCTGCTAGTCTAAGACTTTCTTAACATATTTACATAATCAACTCTGACTTTTAGGTGCCCCCGATACCTAATTCAGCGTGAACCACTGCTGAATGCAAACCTGCCACTGATGGCAGTGAAGGTTTTGAATTAGCCACACAGCAGTGAATGTGGCTGTGCTGATTCCTGCCGCAAAGACCTAGCATAGAATATCCTTTATTGTCACTTGTATTACAATACAGAAGTATAAGAATACAGTGAAAAGCATTGTGATTCCTCTGGAGGCACACACTGCCTGCCATTCTCTTGCTGCTGTGTGAGATGTCAAGCCAATTCTCATGTGGCCACTGCTGCTGTTTGAAACTTTCTTTCTGTGCAATGCAAACAACGGATGCTTCCTCTTGAAAGTAAATTTGTGTCCTTAAATGAGACGGCAAATTTCCTGTGTTCAGTTTGAAAATTTCTAAGTTTTGAAGCAAATTTGAAGGGCCTGATTTGCTTAGCCTAGCATCAGGGCTGGATTGGAGGTCAGCAGGTGAGGAACCCCACGCTGCTGGCCAACATGCCATCCCACTCGTAGATATTTTCTCAGAGGCAGGATGGGGACAAGAAAGGCCTGAACACCTGCAAGCAACAGGTAACCAATTCATATTGGTTATGGCTTCCTTCAAAGGAGTCATATTCAATGCAAAATAATAACTCTAGCTCTGCGTCCACAGACTTGCTGAGTATTTCCAGCAATTTCCGCTTTGAATTCAGATGTTGAGCATCCTGGGCATTTTGCTTTTATCGTCTTGTAGCAAACACACCTTGTGTGTGGGCATTTAAGGTCAACTTTCGGTGGTTCAGGTCTGTTGGTCATGGATTGGTACAGGAGCAGGCTGAGAATTCCTCTCCGCTGCTTGGATTGAGCTGCTTTTGCAAGTCAGGTTGTGCAAAGGATCACGATGTACTGCTCGACGTGTTTCTTATTTGAAATCTCAAAGTTGGAGAGAAGATCCTTTGCGTGTTGGGTTGATATCTTACCTCCTTAATGCCAACCTGAGATAGCAGCCTGTCATTTGCTTTTAAGCTAGAAGGGTTCCTATTGGCTCATCAGATTTGGGAATGCAGTGCCATCCTTTATTGAACTCTCTGGCCATTTATTGACCAATTCAAGAAAAATAACAGGTGAGTGACTGCATCCCACACACTGCAGGTTCTAATTCCCATAAGAATCAGCCTATGGGCTCCAGAAGCTCAGAGAGCAAATCCTGATAGGGTTTTTCAATTTGTGCAGACTTCTACAGATTTAAAGTCCAGTGGTGGATCAGACGATGAGTGAAACAATAGATTGTATGCTGTGACTCAAAGCAGAGGTTAGTGGCTAATAGTCTGGGCAACTGGACTTTAGAACAAGGTGTAGAGCTAGATGAACATAGCAGGCCAGGCAGCATCAGAGGAGCAGGAAAGCTGACGTTTCGGGTCAGCTTTCCTGCTCCTCTGAGGCTGCCTGACTTCTGTGTTCATTCAGCTCTACACCTTGTTATCTCAGACTCCAGCATCAGCAGTTCCTACTATCTCTGAACTTTAGAACATGTTGGCAACAAAATATTTATCTGCATGACAAGTAAAATTTGGGCACATAGAAAAAAAGTTATCTGAGTTAAGCATAAATGGAAGAAGTAGTGGCTGGGGGATGTTATGCAAACCATGTAACAGAAGTAGAATATGTCCAGGATATAATTCGAAAGGAGACTCAAACTAGACTTGGAATAGTAGGCCCGAAACGTCAGCTTTCCTGCTCCTC